TCTTTCCCTCTCCAAATCCATGATTTATTTGAATTATTCATCTCGTTGAACGGATTAAATTAAGAATCCATTTATATATTCGTTGGAATCTTCTTGATATTTATTTAAATGGCATTTAAAAACCTTTGACAGCTTTTTACTCTCTTAGTTTTGGTATCCGTAGCTTTCCATTTGTTTTTGGGTTGATTTATGTTTGAAAAAGGATGATTTGTTAATTTGGCGGTGCCCTAGGTGTATTTTCTTTTGAAACTCTCAGATCAATTTACGCCTTTTTCATTAACGTACAATTGCTTGGCTAGGGAGGGGTAGAGGTTAGGGTTGTCGTGGTATTGTTCTTTTGGAAAATATTTTGATTACTGAGAACCATGGATGTTTCACCTAATACGTATCACTGTAGGAGATTCACGAAATTCAGCTGCGGCCTGATTTTCATTGTGAAATCCCTTCGGCATTATTGGTGTTCTTGTAATGTTTTATGAATTTTGTTGGCGATCTGATCCAAGTCTCCATGTTAATGAAAAAAAAAGAAATCATCAAAATAATTAATATGAAAATTAAAATGGAAATCTTTGATACATTATGGTCTAGTAATGTGGATGCTGATAAGCTGGTTGAATCCGTGTGCTATTATGTTTTTCATGTGATGCTAATGCATGTCCTAAACCCCATGGTTTGCTGAAGTTGTGGTCTCTTTCCAAAACTAGTATTTGTGAAATATTAGAATGTTCAAAGCTTAGATATCAAGTTTATTTGGGCTTTTTTATTGTCTTCAAGAGGTATCATCTTTTGAGGTCTTGTGAGTTTTTAAAATTAACTTCTTTGTTTGTATATTAATCATTGGCCATGAGTTCTTAACTCTTAAGTTCACTTATTATTGTTATTATACATGCTAGTTTTTGAAATTACGTTAGTTTGCTTTTCTTAGAACTAATTGTAGGCTAATTCTGTAATGTATGTATATTTGTAGCATTTTCATGTCTTAAATATTGTGACTTCTTGAAACATCTGTATACGGTGTCTTTTGAGTAGTTAAATTATGCAATCCATCAATAAATTAGAAAATTTCCAATGGTTTCTATTATCGCAGTACTGGTTATCATTTTAAGTTAGTTGTAAGGCATTTCTTAAACCTAATAGTCAGCTAATGCTGCAATATATTTCAATAGAGTATTTGTCTAGGATCGGAATGTGCAAACTTTAGGCTATGAGTATTAATGCTATTTTGTTTTTTCTTCATGAAATGTTTTCATATGAGGCTTTCTGAGTACTAAATTCATTTGTACATTGCAGCTAGCAACAGTCACTTTTACGTAACACTATAAAAACAATATTCATTAATTTGTGAATGAGGCAATGCTGATGACAATAATTCATTTTCTTTCATGCTTTAAATTCACTTGAGAGAGAGAGAGAGAGAGAGAGAGAGAGAGAGAGAGAGATGTATTTGCATATCTAACACCTTAAATTTACTTTTTACATTTATACCACCCAAATTTTTTATATATCATAAAAAATACCACAATTTTAACTTTTCAAAAGTGAAATAGACATTTTCATGCACAGGTAAGTTGACATGTATGTAAAAATTGAAGTTTAGGTGTTAGATATGTAAATGCTTATGGATTGAGTGGTATGTTTGTAAATCTTCCTGCATTTTATCTTGTTTAAATAAAGATAATTATGAAATCTTAATTTATAAAACTAAAATAAAAATACTTAAATTAATGCCAAAACTCAAGGAATCTGAAATTCCTGAAATAATTTTGATGTTTTTTTTTTCTGCATCGAATTTTTGGGGCTTCTAAAACATTACTTATAGAATGTCATACAATTGCCTTTTTTTGAAAGTTTGATTTGCATTTTAAAGGTGATTCCATAACAAGTTCAGGAATATCACTTGAACTTTTAGCTTGTGCGGATTGAAAATATGAAGTAGAATTTGGATTTTTCAACTTCAGATATTTCCATGCATTATTAATCTTTGTTTGATGATACCATATAAGATGATATCATAATTTCATGTTGGCGGTAGTAATAATAACCTAAGCTCAACCTTTATTTTTGAGATGATGAGAACAATAGTTTTGAAACATGTGGAATAACTTACATATCTAGAGAAGAATATTCTTATAATATTAAAATATGTGGATGACCTATTTTTTTATCCTAATAATAATAATAATAATAATACTGATAGAAGAAATATAAGTTACAGTCCATGCTTTCAATAGTAGTCTCAAGCGTGATTCAAATTTAAGCTCAAGAATAATATTATACATCTAACACCAACATCAAAGTAACCAAAGGCTTGATGACTGTTGATTGATCATTGCCATAAAGCTCATTTACTGAACTCAGATCATTGCAATATTATTCTTTTGGGATTAACTCGAGATGAGGATCAAGTTCTTCACTTGGTTGAGGTGATTTATGGGTTGAAGTACTAAAATTGGCACAACTTTCCAAATTTAGGTGTTTGAGAAATTATTTTATAAATTTATCTGTCATCATCATGGCAAGATAAATTGGTTTGTTGATGGACAAGATGATCAAATGTATAGCCATCTTAAGATTTATTTTGATGTTGATATCTTTATTCTTCATGCAATACTCCATCATCATATGAATTTTGGTACTGATGCGATGCATCAACTTTGGTTTGTCATGAAGTTGATTTATACTATATATGAGATTGATGATGGTTTGAATATTTGACATGGCCAATGTTATAATATGTCTTGTTCTAATCTCGAAATTTATTGTATTGGTCTCTTTATAGTCATATTTGTGAGAATAAGAGATATGCTAAAATGAGATTGATCATACTTATAAATTGGTTCTTAATTGAGTTTGATTTTTTTTTATTACTTTAGCAAGCTTATATTATACATGAGATTGATGATGATTTGAATAATTGACATGGCCAATGTTATAATATGTCTTGTTCTAATCTCGAAATCTATTGTAATGTTACTCTTTATAGTCATATTTGTGAGAATAAGAAGTATGCTAAAATGAGATTGATAATTCTTTTTGTAATATCTGATAAATTGGTTCTTAATTGCTCTGGATTTTTTTTTCTTACTTTAGCAAGCAAGCTTAAATGTGGCAAATATATCATTTTATGGACAGGGCTTCTTGTTTTGAAGATGTCATGGTAATTTCATTGTAATCAGATGTCAGTGTGGTACATTTAATGAATTCTCTGTTAAGTCAATGTCTATGGTTTGGGTTATGGTTAAAGGGGTTTTTGGTGAATTTGGTGCAAGGTGAAGGAATCAATATTGGCACTAGAATTAAGTTATGATTACCTTAAAAAAATTAAGTTATAATACCAATTTTGTGGAGACCTTGATTTGTGCATCTCCAATTTTATTTTCTTCTTCTTTCTATTTGAAATAGCTTGTTTTGTCCATTTCCTTGGGAGTCCAATTTCCAAGGTTATCTTAGAGCTATGAAAGGGATGATGAGGTTTTGTTGAGAGGGTGGAGCTTATGGGTTGATTTGTGAGAAGAATGGAGTGAGGGCCCAGTTTTTGAGTTATGATGTGGTGAAATATTGAAATTATGGAGTTGGGACTGTTGAATGGTGATAATGTTGTAGAGGTGCTGGAAAAGAAATGATAGATTCAGAGCTGATCCTTACGAAGAGCTGCATTTTCTTGCATGGGTAAATGCATGTTTTGGCGGATTCCTAGAACACAAAATGAGATTCAAAAGCATTAATGAAGCTTGGAGAATTGAAAAGTCACTTGGATAACTTTACTTACAAAACATGACTAGGTAAAATAGTATTTTGAGCTTCTTATTGTCTCAAGCCGTTAACTTTCTTTGCTTGAATATGTTGACTTTTTCGCATAGGTGGAATAAAAGCGAGCTAGCTTGCTTGACCATCTTTGCATGGTTAAAAAATAAATTTATAACAATTGCATTATTCCAATCCCGATGATTACATAAATAAATACAAAATTCTACGAAGCAAAAGCAAAGTACAAAATATCCCGAAATTCCATTTGCTGTGTTTCATTAGATGGCTTCAAGATTGTAAATTTCTATAATGAGATAGGGCGGTGATAGGAAAGGTGTAGTGGGGAGCGGAGATGGGGACGGGTGAAAAGAATCAAGGAGGATTATTGATTTAATTTCAATTCATGATATTGCAAAATCACATTCTTCCCATTATGATTTATGGATATAAGATTTTCAATTTAAATTCAAATTAATATCAAGAGAAGTCTAAAATCCAATTTTGTAATTTAAACTAAAGATCATTCTAGAAATTAATTGCATTAAAACTGAAATGAAATCTTAAAATAATCTAAAAAAACTAGGGAATTTTTAAAAATTGTAGAATAATTTACAAAATGCATTACATTTAAGCTTACTTATCATCTCTAAACCATTTTTTTGTCGAATTCCGTTTATGTTTGGATTTTTTTTGTTATGCATATTCATCCTACTTTTGTTCATTTCTCTTATTTTAGATTTTTCTTAAACCCCTCATGGAAAATACACGGTAATATTACCTTTTAGATTCTTGATGTCAAAGGATAGATCTCATTCATGATTATCATTTTACTTGTTTTTTAAATAATTTGATACCATTAAAATATCACATGTTAATGGCATGATCCATCTTTATATTTATTTATTCCTTTCGAAAATGGGCTTGTGAATTATATCAATGTCTACATGCATACATGCATGCATGCATCCATATATATATATATATATATATATATAGATAAAACCTTTTATTTGAATATGGCTTTTCTCGGCATTTTCCTTTTGATAAAGTTGATAAGTGTTGGTGCTCTTTTCCATTTGCTTGTTTTTATTTGTCTAAATGCATTGTTTTAAATACACAGTAATGCCGTGAGGTGTTTGCCAAATGACCTACTTTATTAAGGCTCAACACCTTTTTACTTTATAATATGACTTTGCCTTTGCTAACGTGTTGTCATTCGTCCTTTTCATCCAGGTGGCTCAAAAAAATTATTGTTTATTCTTTTTAATAATTTCACTTTTTTCTCGCCAAGATGATAAAACTCACAATGATTGCACGTGTAACTGATGGGCTTCCATTGGCCGAAGGGTTAGATGATGGCCGGGATCAGAAAGATTCAGATTTCTATAAACAGCAAGCAAAGCTTTTGTTCAAGAACTTGTCAAGAGGGCACAATGAGGCTTCAAGAATGTCAATCGAAACTGGTCCTAACTTCTTCCAGTATCCTACCTGTACTGTTGTCATTCCTTGTTATATCCTAAACATACTGTTACAAAATGTGGGGGAAGTTAGTGTGTAAAAGTGTTATGCCTTTGGTCAATTAGATCAATGATTTATTTTGTATGCTGGTGCTTTGGGGGGCATTGTGTCAATTTGTTTTTACTCATTGATGCTCTTTGGAAGTGATCATAGGTTATTATGGTTACATTGGTATTATTGATGATCAAAATGGATCTTCTAATTCTTAGAAGGATAAGAACAGCTTGAAATTCACTAATTTGCAATCTGATTAATTAGCCTCTGCAAGGTTGGATTGCAGGCTTTTAAAGAATCTCACATTTTTTAGTAGATTAACGGACATTAAATGACATGACCAGGAAATTCTAGCTTGGATTTGTCAGAATCAGTGAAAGATAGATTGAAATATATTGTAAAGGTTTCCCCTAAAGGATATATAGGACCAAATATGATTTATTTAATTTTAGAAAATCTTTATTTCTAATGAATGCAAGCCCTCATTATTAATTATGTTTTGGATATGATATCAAAATATTCTCGATTTTTTATTTCTAATGAATTTCTAATGAATGCAAGCCCTCATTATTAATTATGTTTTGGATATGATATCAAAATATTCTCGATTTTTTATTTCTAATGAATTTCTAATGAATGCAAGCCCTCATTATTAATTATGTTTTGGATATGATATCAAAATATTCTCGATTGTGGATGCTCAATTCATATTCTAGATTCAAAATAAAATTTCTATGCAGCAGTTCTAACAAGATGAGGTTGAAGCTTAAAGAGGTCTTTTAAGCAAGTGATGTCGTTAGGGGTAAGAGCCACAAAGAGGAAAAAACGTCCAATCAATGATAAGTATTTTGGTGTTTTTCCTGAAAGAGTCTGACTGACTATGTTTTGATTGGACTTTTTGTATAAAAGAGATGTCTGAAGGTGCATTGAGGTCTTATTACCTTGAGAGGGAGTGCCAAAAGAAGAATTGGGCGAGCGACTTGCAACATCTTGATAATGATGCCCAGAATGTGGGTCTTACAATCTAAAAAGGGATTTTCCACAAAAGTGGAACAATTTTTCTTCAGCCTTGAAAAAGGAATTAACGAAATTGACCTAGGGAACATGACTTACGTTTCCTTGACAATGAAAGAACAAATGCCCAGCCTAGGAGCGTAATAAGCTAGAAGGATTTTTTTTTTTTTGACCAGATAGTACAGTGAGACTTATAACACTAAGGTAAGTGCACCTTAAGTCTATTGCAAGCAATAAAGAAATGTGAAGCCGTTCTTCCACTTGTAGGGAAGATGTTCATGAAAGGACTTGTAACTTAACCTTGTGATATCAGGAAGCCTGATGGTCAGTTTTGTATCTTTTGGGTAGGAAATGCCTCTTAATTCTGCCTTCATGATTTTTAAGGCCATGCTAAATTTTTAGTGCAATGCAAACTAATTGTACATTGATGAGCTAACCATGGTATCCCAAGCTTGTTGCATCCTAGAAAGATAGCAGGGGTGCCTTGCATTATATGTTTTGGCTGACTAGTTGGGAAAGGAAGAGTGATCCGCCAGAACATGGGATGGTTGCAGTTGAGCACAAGAGGCAATTAGGTAGGCTTAACCTGGAACCTAGTCAAAGGTAACTCAATTGGTGTAGAATACTCTGTTAGAGTCAAGGTAGGAAGTAATATAAGTGGCTCTTCATGCACAGTGAAGAAGAAGGCTAGAAGGTGGAAGATCTGATTGGAAGGAAATAAGACTTTCTAAAGCCAAGAAAGAACCTCCGTCAAGAGAAGAACGGACACTTTGTAGTAGAAATGTTTCCTTGTGTAGTAAGGACCATGCAATGATAAGAGACAAGTCGTAGGGGGAGAGATGACGATGAGATGGTTGCAGTAATGATGCTCAATATCTTTCGGATGAGGTTTTCTTTAAGCCCCTACATTGGGCAACTTGCCAGAGCAGTCAACAAAAGAATTCCTCCATTTCTTTAAAGGTGACCAAAAAAAATTGAGCTTGATATGCTCATCAGTGGAAATGTTTCCTCCTAATACCGGTGGGTAGTATAAGATGGCTTTTAGTAGATTTCATGCTTTGACTATTTTGGGAGCTGATATGTTGATAGTTTTTTTTCACAAATTCCTAGGAGAATGATGTATTTAAAATCCAAGGTGAGTTTTGAGTTAAGGAATTAGTCAATACATCTCGATCAAATGAGAAGTTATTAGGCCAAAATGTATCAACAAAAGTCGATTATAAAAAGATGGTGATGAAATAACTATGTGAGGTGTAAGGAGGTGAGGAATCAACAAAATCAATTGGAAGATTCCAAAGAGAACATCATGGGTGGGGTTCCTAGGAGCTAACATTTGGGTAAGAGTTATTGGGATGAAAAGTCATGCAATTTGATCCAACCCAGAGGAGTTCAGGGTAGAGGGTGCTAGCTAGGTGGCAAGGATGTGCCAACAGATAAGGATTTTACTGTGGGTGAAGATAACACCAACTAACCTGATAGGGTTTTGGATGGAGACATACATAGCCAACTGGGCAGGATGGGAGTGCTGGTTGATAAGAAGGTACTGATTGGTGATGATTGTCACTGACTTGAGTGCTTTGAGCAGGGTTAATGCTACATGTGTTGGAAGGGTTGTGTCTGCTGACAAGAAGTCCTAGCTGAGCGATGATCAATGAGTTGGCTTCAAGAGTCTAACTAAAATTGTATAAACTGACCTGAGAGGATTTCGGGTAGAGCGGTTGTTAACTTGACAGGAAAGCTTGAACCAACTGACCTAATAAAGGGGGCCCCAATTAGTCAGAAATGATTGCATTGACAGACCTGAGAATCGGGCATCAACCAGGCAGAGAGGATTTCTTGGAGATAGTCCTGTGAGGGAATTGACGGATCATGATTCATTGGGTCGAGACTGAGCTAGCTCGTGCTGGTTGACTCAGGATGCAATCTATGAGATGAATGTATTGTCTAAGCGGGATATGGGTTAGGATCACTGGTAAGGCACAAGATTAGGTTTGGGTCTATCAATTGATACAGTTAGACTGGGCTTTGAATCAATTAGTATAGGACTTGGCTTTGGGCTAGGGCTATCCATATCCTCCTAATCCGTCAAGGAAGTAAGGTCCTCCGATTATGCTACAAGATGACAAGGAGGTCCTCTAGGAGAGCTAATATCTTAGCTAAGGCAGTGTTTGAGCTATAGGGCTCCATTTTTTGGGAACTTAAAGACAGGATTTTAGAGAGAAAGGAGAGGTTAAAAATGGCCGTCGCTTTGAATCAATGAAGTAGCATATGCACAATATAGGAACAAGGATGAGTGTCATCTTACCAAAACCTTGCACTAGAATGAAGCTTCATATATTGTTTACATTCTTTATTCAGTTCTTCGTATTGGTTACTCCTGTCTTTATTCCATGATTAATTTTCTGGGAAACTTATTTGCATCTCTAACAGTGTTCGAGGAATTCTGTTGTTTTAGCTTTTTCATTACTGGCAGTGGGCTCTTGTTTATAAGTCTAATGGTCCGGTTTCTGCAACTGCACTGTTGCATTTTATTGTTAACTTAACTAACCTAAACAGCTATATAATCGAGGGTCGTGTTTGCTATCTTACAATGTGTGATCGCTCATATCCAAGGAAGCTGATTTTCCAATATTTGGAGGATCTTAAAAATGAGTTCGAAAGAGTCAATGGGGATCAGATTGAAACTGCAGCAAGGCCATATGCTTTCATTAAATTTGGTATGTCTGTTTACATGGCAAGTTTTCATTCATTGCTCGAGCTGTTCTGTATTCATTTCATTTTATTTTATTTTATTCTATTTTTCTTTTCTCATGAAGATACTTTCATACAAAAGACTAAGAAACTATACCAGGACACCCATACTCAGCGAAACCTTGCAAAGTTAAATGATGAGCTCTATGAAGTCCACCAGATAATGACTCGCAATGTTCAGGAGGTTCTTGGTGTTGGTCAAAAGTTAGACCGTAAGTTTCTGTTAATGTGTTCATTATCTTCGCCAGAAGCATTTCTTTCTGAATTTTTGTTTCAAGTACATCCAAAATAAATTCATTCAGGACTCAGATTTTTTTTGTCAGTGTTGGTTGTGGGCTTGCCAATTTCATTACATCAAGATTGTTATCAGGCAAAGATTTTATTTTATTTTTCAGTTCTATTTGTATACGTATACTTAAAATCATTCAGAGGAAGTCAAAATAAACTATTACGGTTGCTAAATCAATTGCCCATGCATGAAAACAATAGAACTATGCAGTTTAGTCTTGTCTTGGCACATTGGTAACATGCACGTTCACTGAAGGATGATGCAATCTTTGAGGAAAATTACAGGATGTATGCAGATTGAACTTTTAGTTAAACCCATTCCTGAGTTTCGTTTCTGTTTGTCGAGTGTCATTAATTTTTTTTTCTCATTATTGATCAATCAAATATCTAGTTTTTGAGATGATTTACTTTGGTGCCTCTAATAGATAGGAGAGATTTCTTATCATGGTAGTGTGGCAATTGAATAGCTAAAGAAGTCACTTATTTTTCATGGGAGGTTTAATATGGAATTCTGAAAACCAGGTCGTGTTTTCAAATTAAAGCTAGTGCAGAAGCCTGTCATTCGTCCTGTGTTTTTAGTTCCATGATTCTTAACCTTTTATCCCTCTATTTATGCAATTTTAATGAAAGAAAATGATGGTGATTTGGTTGCAGAGGTCAGTGAAATGTCAAGCAGGTTGACATCTGAAACTCGTATATATGCGGACAAGGCAAAAGACCTAAATCGCCAGGTATTTGTACTTTTTAAATTGCACTTCACCTTTAATGTTTATAAAAGAAGCTTCTTGTATTTAATATTTTATAGTTTTTTCATTTTTTGGTTAGGTTCCTTTTGTAGTTTTTAGGGTGGTTGAACACTTAAACCGCGACAAATCCAATAATCTAAGTTAACGGTATTAAAAATAATTTTTGTAATTTTATTTAATAAGCAAATAAAATGAAATTGGAATACTATACAATTTTTCAAATTGCAAGAAACTGAGAAAACTCAACTGTTATCAATGACATTACATTGGTATACAAAAGTTTGAAGAGGAAAAGATATTTTAGAATCCATATCAATGAGTTTTCATGGATCCCTTAAATACTTGCGTAAATACTAGAGCGTCCCCTGGAAGCGATGCTCTGTATGACCTGAATATAGTGAAAAGTATGCAAGGGCCGCGACATCAGCTTGCAGGTGTAGTGTCAAATAACTAATAATTCCCACATTATGTACGAATGAGGGTAAATAAGTTAGTCCATGAAACTAATATTAGATAGAATTTTGGAATATAGGTACTCTCATAGGCAAATTAATGAAATTAATTGATATTATGGTTCATAAGAAGAGAAATATCTTATCTATTCAAGAAACTAAATGATTTGGAGAAAAAAACTAAGGAGATTGATAGCTTAGATTTTAAACTTTGGTATTTATGTAAGAGTCGCACTATTGTAGTCGTACTAGAAATGGTGTAGGTGTATTATAGATAAGAGTTTGAAAGATGATGCTGTAAAAATTAATAAAATTAGAGATAGAATTATAACATTTAAGATTGTTATTGATACTAAGATTTTTAATGTTATAAGTGCTTATGCTCCTCAAGTATGTTTAGATATAAGTTCTAAAGAAAAATTCTGGAATGACCTTAGAATAATTAATATCAATAATACCTCTTGAAGAAAGAATTTTTATAAGAGGAGATTTAAATGAAAATGTTGGTAGAGTGGTAGAAGATTTTAGAAATATTCATGGTGATTACAGTTTTGGAGTGATTAATGAAGAAGGTAGGACAATATTAGATTTTGTTTTAGCATATGATTTTGTTATTGCTAATACTTTATTTAAGAAAAAAGAAGAATGGATCTGATAAAACACAAATTGATTTTCTTAGGAGAAGAAGAGATACTTCAGAATGTAAAGATTATAATGTCATTTCAAGTAAAAATTTAGGTACTTTTAGATTTTAAGATAAAGAGTTATAAGATAAAAAATATTAGAAATTATTGTCACAAAATTAGATGGGAGCACTTAAAATACATAAAATTATTTTTATGAGTAAACTTCTAGATTTCAAGATTTGGGATGTTCATGAAGAAACAAATTGTATGTGGGATCAAGTAACAAATACTATTAAACAAGTGATAAAAGATGTACTTGGAGAATCAAAAGAAAAAAAAAATATAAATAAAAATAGTTTTGAATAATAATGTGCAAGAAATGATAAAATATAAGATGTGTTGTAAAGATTGATTTAAATGTAAAAGCTCAGAGTTGAAATATGTCAGTTAGTTGAACATCATCGTGTTCCTTATCCACCTCACAATTACACACCTTTCACTCCTTTCTTTTGTATTCACAGTGACTTATGAGGATTCTCTCACACTCTTAGCTACACGAATAAATGGTGGTTCCTTACTTTGAATGATGATGACCCTTGGATGACATGAGTCTTAATTTTAAAAGATGAATCTGAAGTTGCTGTCACTTTCAAAAACTTTCATACTTTCATTTAAACTCAATTCAAAACTTCTATTCAATTCCTTCGGACTAACAATAATTGTCGTGAATTTCTTAACTCTATATTAGGGAAATTTTTGATGAGTAAGGGCATCCTCCACATAGCTCATGTATCGACACTCAATAATATGGGGTAGCTAAGAGAAAAAACTGAAATCTCCTTGACGTTACTTGTTCTATTATGTTTCACTATAATGCCCCAAAACGTTTCTGGAATGATGTCATTCTTACTGCTATTTATCTCATCAATAGAGTTCTCTAAAAAATTCACCACTTCCGTACCACTTTATCTATCTTGAGATCGGGTATTCTTCACTTTAGATCCTAAAGTTTTTGGGTGCACAACCTTTGTTTGGAACACAACCTCAAATCGGAGTAAACTTGTTCCTACCTCCATAAAATTTATTTTTCTCGGATACTCTGCCACTCAAAAGGGGTATCAGTGCCTTGATCCTACCATAAAGAAGGCCTATGCGAGTGCTAATGTCTCTTATTTTGAAAGTGTTTCATACTTTCCTAACTCGGCCTCCAATGAGGGGGAGCTAAAGTTCTTAGACACTATTGGATGTTCCCCTCAAGTCACCTATCATTGATGAACCCTTTGTTCCTTTAGTTCCAACCACTTCTCCTACCATCAAGGAAACTGCCCCTTTTGTTCCACCAGCACATCCTCCCACTTTCCGTTTCTACACTTGACACACTCATTCTAATGCACTTTCTCTGGAGCTCCCCTTGTTGTGTCCTGAATCCTCTTTGGACGATCCCCAACACTGCTTATACTTCAAATGAGGAAGTCAGTTCCTCTAGTAAGGTTTGCAATTAGATAGACTCTCTCTATCTCATGACAAACTATGTTTCTCTTCGTAGATTAGCATCAACCTACAGAGCATTTGCTACGACCCTCACTAATCATTAGTTTCCATCTACAATTGAGGCTGCCTTAGCAGACCTAACTTAGAAAGCTACTGTCATGGAGGAGATGAATGCTCTTCAGCAGAACCATACTTGGGATATTTTTCATCTTCCTCGGGGCAAGGATGCAATGGGATGCCGATGTTATTTTAGTATCAAGTTTAATTCTGATGGATTTTTTGAATGCAACAAGCCATGGTTGGTCGCCAAAGTGTACTCACAGAATACAGAGTTGACTGTGAGGAGAAATTTCCTCCCGTTGCTAAATTAAATATTATTCGGGTCCTCTTATGCCTTGTAGTGAATCTGGATTGACCCTTACATAGGAGGTATACATGACTCTTCCATCAGGCTGACTCTACTGCCTCTTAAGGACAAGTATGTAGATTGAAAAAATTCTTTTATGGATTGAAGCAATCACTACAGACATAGTTCGGGAAATTCACAAATGTGGTAGTAGGCCATGAATTCACTCAGGCTCAATCAGACCACATTCTCTTCTTCCGACATTCTTCTAGTGGCCAAGTAGCTATCCTTATTGTCTATGTTGATGATATTGCTCTCATAAGTAATGATCTATCAACATTAGAGTCTTTGAAAGATATTCTTGTTGCTTCCTTTGAAATTAAGGATTTGGGATCTCTTCGGTGCTTCTTGGGCATGGAAGTTGCTCGGCCATCTCAAGGTATTTGTCCGTCTTAGCGAAAATATGTGATTGACCTTTTCACAGAAAAAATCTTCTTCTGTGCAAACTAGTGACTGTTCCGATGAATCCCAATGAAAACCATCTAGATGTTCCTTATGCAGTTTCTGTAAACAAGACTTACTACCAGTGCCTTGTAGGGACTTGCCCATACACTCCCCAACATATGCTATGCAGTTGGGATAGTCAGTCAATTCATGCATCATCTCTATGAGCACCACTTCCAAGCTATCAACCAGATTCTCCACTATTTAAAAGGCATATCAGACTCAGTTTTATTTTTTTCCTGTAATACTTGCTCTATTGCAATTTACACAAACGCGGATTAGGCCGGGTCTGTTCATGATCTGTGATCTACCTCAGGGTGCTGCTCATTTGTGTGGGGAAATTTGTTCACGTGGTAAAACAAGAAGCAGTCTGTAGTTGCTTGGAGCAGTGTGGAAGTCAAATTTTTGTCTATATCTCTGACAATTGTTGAAGCTCTCTAGTTACACATCATGCTTCACAAACTACATATGAAAGTCTCCGCTCTTCTACTACAGTTGTTCTGTGATAACAAGGCTGCCATTAACATTGTTCAGAACCCGGTCCAGCATGATCGAACCAAGCATGTTGAGATTGACCATCACTTCATTAAGAAAAAGCTCGAGTCCGGGAAAATTTGTGTTTCGTTTGTGCCATCTAGTGGCCAGCTGGAAGGTATTCTCACAAAGAACTATCCTCGGCCACTATTCAATGATTTCAAATCCAAGTTGAACATTATTGACATCTATGCTTCAATTTAAGGGGGCGTATTAGAATATTAAAATATTAATTTGTAGATTTCTTGCTTTGACTTGTTTTTATTTATCTTTTTTTTTACTTTTATTCTGTTTTTATTTTTTTTATTACTAGTATATCCTATAATGGTATTTATACCTCTCTTTATATCAATAAGATTTACCTTCAATTCTATTCTAATACTTTAAAATTATAGGAGAAGGTAATCGAACATAGGTTAAAACATGAGATAAAGATTTCTCATAATTAGTTTGAATTTTTGCCCAGCAGGTCTACTATGGAAGCTATACATTAATTGAGAGGTTTGAGGGAGAAATATATATAGAATAAGTTGGTTCTATATATGGGCCTATGTTTTTGTTTTAGTTGTGGATGCTTTACTGGACATTTACAGGAGGATGTACCTTTGTATATGCTTTTCGCTGATGATATCCTTCTTGTGGATAAGACTAGAGAATGGATTCTTGTGGATAAGACTAGAGAAACAGTTTAGAAAAACTTGAATTATGAAGGTTTACATTGGAGTCTAAAGACTTTCGTTTGATTTGAACTAAAACTGAATGCATGGAATGTAATTTTAATAGTAGTGGCTGAAGTGGCAGAGTTGTAACTATGGGTGATTAAATCATTAAAATGTGTGAACATTTTAGATATGTCAGGTCTATTGTTCAAAGTGATGGTGATATAGATGGAGATCTTATTAATTCAAGTTGGTTGGTTGAAGTGGAGGAATGCATTGGGCCTATTGTGTGATAGAAAAATACCGCTTAAACTAAAAGGAAAATTTTATAAGATGGTCGTGAGACCTGCAGTGTTCTATGGTGCAGAATATT